GACGCATCTGCTCACCATGGGGCTTGCTGTGGGTGTCACGGAGAGGCTTGGCAGCGTTGAAGACAATAAAGCATGCTTTCCTGGAAAAAATAATGCTGGATTAAGGACTAAAACATGGTCACTTTTTTCACCACAAGGAAGACCTGTGCTTATTAAAAATGCACCGGCTTCAGACACGTGGAAGAGAGGCTGAGAACGTTTTGAGTCGGCATGTTGCTGGAGATAAATTATGGGCTAAGAAATCAGCTGAATGGGTCGGCCATATGGATTTTCCCAGGTCACATTACTTTTCTATTTGTATTCTCAATCGCTTTTGAACACCCTTCGTGCAAGTCAGCATATCAAAAGATGATTTTGTACAAGGATTACCGATTTCAAATAAATAAAGAACCAAAAGAAATAGATTTCAATTGCATCCAGACTGGTTGGAAATAAAATGAGGAGGGCTGCAACTCGCTGGGCCAGCACAGACAGGAGCCCTGAGAGCGCCTCCTCCGAGATCGATGAGGTGAGAATAGGCCCCAGTAAAGCAGTGGGGAAAACTGTCTTCCTGAGCCCCTTCCAGCCCAAGGATTCCAGCTATCCTTTGCACTCAGCCCGCATGGGGTTAATGATGAATAATTACAAACAATAAAGACATTTAAGATTGAAGACTAAGCCAAGATTTGCTGTTCTCTGCCTGTTCACCCCCAACTATTTCTAATCCTGCTATTTCCTGATGAGAACACAGACTTAACCAGATATTCTACTTCATTTTCGGAAAATCTCTTGAAGTTGCTTTGGATGAGCTGAGGAAATGACATCATCACCCCTGGCTGGCTGCAGGAGTGACTGAGCCCTTGGGTTTGGGTGGGGTTGGGCCGCTGGTGAACGCAGAAGGTGTGACGCTGCCGAGAGAACTGGACCCCAGCACCACTCTGTTCTCCAAGTTAGAGTGACATTCACTCCTCAGGTGCCAATGAGTTACAGAGGAGTCACGTCAAACTCACATTTAACTCGTGTGTGTCCACAAAGCAGAGTGAGGGATGGTGAAAATCGGTCCAGCAATCCTGCCCACCCTTGCAAGCAATGACCACGGAGACTGGAATGAAAATGAGAATCTGCCAGGTCCTCAGTCGGTCCCAGTTCCCACGTGCTGAGTGTGCTTCCAGGGCCCAAAGACACACGCTTTCAGATTGCACGGCTCTGAACACAACCTCCTTCCTCCTCTACAGAAAGAGCTGCTGTCCATTCCAGTGGTGGGGGAGAGGGGACACCTGGCCAGGGTGACAGACGGTCAGCACTGTGCCTTTGTATCAGGAAAGGCCACCACACCTGGACAGACCGGTCAACAAATGGTGCCAGCTCTGGCTCATGAGATTAGAGGAGGGTGTCCCCTCTGGCCAGATCACTCAGAAAAAGACCCCCTCTGGGCACCTACAGCCCCAGCACGGCTTCAAATGCAGACAGATCTTCATGTGAAGAAAGACTTCTACCTACTTGTGTGGCCATGTCCCCACTGAGGCCCGGCCTGGCTGGGAGCAGGCTGGATTTCAGTGCCAGTTGTCACTCTGCATGGCTGCCCTGAACTCGGCTGTGTTGGACTCACCGAGCAGTGGTACACTGGGCCCCACACAGGCCTTCCAGGGACTTTAAGAGCCATTTTCCTATACATGCTTTACATCATATGCCTTGTCTTCAGGACCAGGTCACCAGGTGAGATGGGATTCTGGTAGATCCAGGTCTGGTTCAGTTCCAGTTCTGGCGAAGAGAGTTTGCTCTGACAAGAACAAGAACCAGAAACAAGGGCCCCTCTTTCCAGTGTTACTAAAACAAGTAAACTGTCAGGAGGGCAGGATTTGTCTGAGGCTTTTCATAACATAAATACAAGTGATAACTTGGTTTCAAAGTGACAACTCCAAACCCTAGGCAATAAAATGCAGTAGATTGATCCCTTTTTTTTCTTCTGAAGGACACTATAATTTGCCCTCTGTCAGTGCTGGGAGAGGGAATGCATTCTGTTTTCCTGGGTGGAAGCTGGAAGATGTAAATGTCTAAAGCTGTAGTGGACACAGGCTGTTTTGCCCACACAGCATCTGTTCCTTCTGAGACCAGCATCCCTGATTGTCCCCTGGGAGTCCCCTCTCCTCCACATGTTCTGGATAAGGCTGACCTCACTGTCATTTCAAGGGGGCTGGGGTGGGGGCTACCACCCAGACCGAAGCCAGTCAGCATATTCTGCACACCCAGACACAGAAAATGACTCATGGAAGGTGCATGGATCAATGTGAGCCAAAGTGAGTCCTGCCCAGCCCCGGCATGGGAGGTGATAAGAGAAAGAAGCTCCCTCTTTTCCACAGAGGCTGCTGAGGGCTGAGGATGCAACCCTGGAAGCATGACAGCCACCTCGGCACCAGGAGGAGGCGAACACAAAAGAGGAAGGTCAAACGCAGAGATTGCCACTGACATCATGTGAGCACCTGGACCAAACCAGTTCGGAACCAGAGTTTCCCCTGGAGCTCCCATTGCAAGAAATGAAAAAGAAACACGTGCCTTTCTTGGCTAAAGTTATTTTGAATCGAGTTTTCTCTCACATAATCAACAGAGTCCTAACAACTGAGGGACTCAATGTCAGAAGCGGAACAAGAGCAGGCAGCGTCTGGAACTCAGGCCTTTCTCTTCCGGTCCTGACACCCGCTGTGCTGGGTGCCTGAATGCCTACATGGGGGCTGTCATTTTTTAGCAGATTATTTTATGTGGAAATAAAGAAACCCAGTGGGGAAAAAATGGTGCATTCACTTGTGGACAAAATGAAAATGGAATTGTAGGGGGAAGGTGAATATTGATTTTAAAAACAGCTAGGAGCCCTTGGATTCTTGCCATATGCCAGGCATTGTGCTAATGACCTTACAGACCTTTTCTCATTTTATTATCCCAACACCACCCCCAGAGAGGGAGCAGTCGTATTTTTATACATTTAACAGAGCAAAAAAAAGCTGAGAGATTAAGACCAAAAGGTTATACATTACACATTTCCATGTATGTGGAATCTCCGGAATAGGTAAAGACAGAAAGTAGATTAGTGGTTGCCAGAGTCTGGGGGAGGGGAAGACGGGGAGTGACTGTGCTCCCTGAGTTTCCTGTTGGGAGGATGAAAATGTTTCCAAACCAGGTAGAGGTGGCAGCTGCACAGCGCTGTGAATGTACCAAGTGCTACTGAATTGTTCATGTTTAAATGGTTATGTTTATGTTATATGGATTTGACCTCAATTTTTAAAAATGACTTCCCAAAATCTCATGGCTCATTATGGCACAATGAATATTTGAACCCCAGTCCACCTACCCACAGGTCCCTGCCCTGAACAATTGCCCTGTGTTGAGTAGGAAGAGGTATCTTGGGGGTTTTCCAAGGGCCCATCAGAGTATAGCCCCTGGGAGGCACACAGCTAACATTTGTTGATCAAAATCACTAATGGACCTGGAATATTTGCTATCCAAAGCCTTCTATATAATCCTCCGCCACATATACCTCGAAACCCCTGATGATCAACAAAATAATATTCATCTCAGAGCATCTCTAGTAAATTATTAACTCGTCTGTCTCAGGGAACAGGTGTTCTAACACACAACTGTGTTTATAAGGTTCAGTAGGACACGTCTCATGTCTGCAGTGCTGATAGCTGTAACAGGAGAGTGGGGAGAAAGGCGGCAGATACCCTGGGAACAGACAGCAGATCTGCCCCAGCCCTTCACACTCACTGACCAATGGCAGCAGTGAAGTACATGGCGATCTCATCCGGAGTCAGGGCCCGCTCCCAGATGATGAACTCATCAAAAGCGCCGTTCTCATAACACTTGGCCTGATCCTGCTCAGACCCTATCACGAGGTTGACGTTGGACTCTCCATAGTCACGAGACACTTTTCCACTCGGGTCAGAGGTGTTCAGGGTCCCGTTGACGTAGACTTTCAGGCCTTCCTTGGATTTCCATGTAAATAGGACATGAGTCCAATAGGGGCCTGGAAAAGAGTGAAGATCGCCCTTCTGAGTGCTGTGGGAATGAGCTCCCCGTGCACAGGTTTCTCACAAGGTATAACACAGACCTGACTTTCCCCAGTCCTTTGGAGCACAGGAAAGACATTATCTTTTTATCCCTATGCCCTAAATTCCAAAAGCAGTTCAAGGAGACTCCTTGTTATTTTAACATAGTAGTTACAAATTTAAATGCCCACAAGCAAGTGTGATTAAAATATTTGAAAAATGCCAGGACACAAGAGCCAACCAATCAGACCATAAGCTCAGTTAAGAAAAAAATGGTCAGGAGCAAGGCAAGGATGTCGCCTCTTACCACTCCTTTTTAACATTGTACTGAAAGGCCCAACTAATGCAATAAGGCAAAAAGAGGAAATAAGAATATACATATTGGGAAGGATGCAATAAAAATATATTTATTCACAGATGATATGATTGTCTATGTAGAAAATCCAAAAGAATCAACAAAAAAGCTGAAACTAATGAGTGAGCATAGCAAGATTACAAGCTACAAAGTTAATATACAAGTCAATTGCTCTCCATCTGCCAGCAACAAATAAGTTGAATTTACAATTAAAAAACACATTACCATTGTCATTGGTGCCAAAAAAGGAAAAAGAAATACATATATTTTAACAATACATTTATAAGCAATATATGAAGAAAACTATATAACTCTGATGAAAGAAATTAAACAAGAACTAAATAAACAGAGAGATATTCCATATTCATGGATAGAAAGACTCAATGTTGTGAAGATGTCAGTTCTTCCCAAATTGATCTATATCTTCAACACAATCCCAATCAAAATCTCATCAGGTTATTTTGTGGATATTGATAAACTATGGAGAGGAAGAGAGCCAGAATAGCCGATACAATATTGAAGGAGAGAAACAACATTGGAGGAACAACACTACCCAATTTCAAGATTTACTATAAAAAGTTACAGTAGTCAAGACAGTGTGGCATTGGAAAAAAACAGAAGAATAGATCTGTGGGACAGAATAGCCCAGAGATAGACCAATAAAAATACAGTCGACCAATCTTTGACAAAGGAGAAAAGGCAGTACAATGGAACAGACAGAGTCTTTTCAACAAATTGTGCTGCAACAACTGAATATCCACATTCAAAAAAAAAGAGAGAATCTTGGCCGGGCACGGTGGCTGACGCCTGTAACCCCAGCAGCACTTTGGGAGGCCGAGGCAGGTGGATCACCTGAAGTCAGAAGTTCGAGACCAGCCTAGCCAACATGGCAAAACCCTGTCTCTGCTAAAAATACAAAAAATTAGCTGGGCATGGTGGCAGGCGTCTGTAATCCCAGCTACTCAGGAGGCTGAGGCAGGAAGAATTGCTTGAACCTGGGAGGCAGCGGTTGCAGTGAGCCGAGATCACCCTGTTGCACTCCAGCCTGGACAACAAGAGCCAAACACCATCTCAAAAAAAAAAAAAATCTTAAACCTGTCATAAAAATTAGTTCAAAATGGGCTATAGGTCTAAAATAAAATGCAAAACCATAAAACCCCTAGAAGATAACATAGGAAAAACATCTAGATGACCTTGGGTTTAGTGATGGTTTATTAGATCCAACACCAAAGGCACAATTCATGAAAGAAATAATTGACAAGCTGGACTTCCTTACAACTAGAAATGTCTGCTCTGTGAAAGACACTATCAAAGACAAGCCACAGATGGGGAGAAAATATTTGCAAAAGACATGATAAAGGACTATTATCCAAAATATACCCAAAAACTCTTAAAATTCAACAGTAAGAAAACAAACAATCCACAATTCGGGAGGCTGAGATGGGAAGGTCGCTTGAAGCCAGGAGTTTGAGACCAGCCTGGGCAACCAAGTAAGACCTTAACTGTACAAAAAATAAAAAAATAAAAAAAACTAGCGAGACATGGTGGCACATGCTCGTAATCCCAGCTACTTGGGCAACAGAGGTGAGAGGATCACCTGAGCCCAGGAGTTAAACGCTGCAGTAAGCTATGATTGCACCACTGTGCTCCAGCCTTTTCTTTCTTTTTCAGAAAGGAAAAGAAAGAAAGAGATAAAGAGAGAGAGAGAGAGAAAAGAAAGAAGGAAGGAAGGGAGCAAGGGAGGATGTAAGGCAAGAAGGAACGAAGGAAAGAAGGAATGAAGGAAGGGAAAGAAGGAAGGGAGGACAGAAAGGAAAGAAGGGAGGGAGAAAGGGAGGAAAAGAAGGGAGGAAGGGAAAGGGAAAGAAGGGAGGGAGGGAAAAAAGGGAGGAAGGGAGGAAGAAAGGGAGGGAGGAAGGAAGAAAGGAAGGAAGGAAGGAAGGAAAGAAGGAAGGGGGGGAGCGGAGGGGAGGGAAGGAGGTAAGGGAGGGGAGGGGAGGGGGAGGGGAGAGGAAGGGAAGGGATAGGAAAGAAAGAAAGAAAGAAAGAAAGAAAGAAAGAAAGAAAGAAAGAAAGAAAGAAAGAAAGAAAGAAAGAATCCAAGTTTTAAAATGGGCAAAAGATCTACCTCACCAACTCATAGAATGTACAACACCAAGAGCTAATGTGAACTATGGACCTTGGGTGACAATGATGTGTCACTTTAGGTTCATCAAATGTAACAAATGGATCACTCTGGTGGGGAATGTCCATGGTGGGGAAGCGTGCATGTGTAGAGGTGGAGTACCAAATTCTCTGAACTCTGCACTCAATTTTTCTGTGAATCTAAAACTGTTCTAAAAAACAAAGTCTATTAAAATCTAACAGCAATATAGGCATTCTGTGGCACCCACAAAGCCAGTCTGCAGAGGCCAAGGGTGGGTAAGCACAGCAACAGGCTTTTCCTGAGGACGCGGCTTCTGTGCTGACTGCGGTGCATGGAAGGGTGGCTGCCCCATCACAGGGAGGTGGCCCCCACTCACCTCCCCGACCAGTAACCTGAGAGATGAACAGCCTGCCTTGCCAGTCTTTTTATTTCCAAGAGAAATTGGAAAATCTTAATTTTAAAATAAAATCATTACTAATGATCGTAAATCATTCCAAATCTTTTTCTGACAAACATGGCCTAGGTAATCACAATATAGGACCATAAAACGCATCTGAGGACCCAACTCAGCCCACAGGCCATTGGCATCAGCCTCTGCTCTAAGCGAGGGCGTATAATGTTAACCAACATGGGAGTGAGTTGGTGGGGAAGACCAACCTCCCTGCTCATTCAGGAACCTCCATCAGCCAACTTTTGTGTTACTCTTGTCTCTGGCACAAGAACTACGCTCATCAACAAGAATGTTCATCAGACTTTGACTGTCACTTCCCCCACAAAGGGTCCCCTTTGTTCTGCCAGCGTGTGTGGTAAGCCGTCCTCCTGAGTTTGCTGCTGGAAGGAACAGCACGGTGCTTTTAAAGGACACGCATCGCCTCCAGCCAGCCATGCATCTTAGATCACCCAGAGTGACATCAGGGCTTCTTGCTCAAGATTGTGCAACTTTCTGATAATTTTGCGTCCCTGGAGCATGCTTGGATCCTAGGTTGGTCCAAAGTAGTATTATTAAAGCAAGAATAACAAACGCCTTCAATGCACAAAAGAGAGCATATTGCCAGCCAGAAGTGTTTCTAATTCTCGCCCTTTCCCTGGGTGGAAAAGCGGCCAGGGTTGAGCAGGCTTTACCTTAAAGCACGTTCAAGGTCAGAGAACCTACTGGGTGCCGAAACCATGTTCCATCAGCCCCAAGGAGCACAGAGATAAGATGCTTGCAATCAACTCTGATAGCAAGTGGAACAGGAGGGTCAGGGACAAGGTTCAGATGGTTCTGTGTCAGAGATTATTTCTGGCCTTAGGGATCACAGAGGGCAAATTCGAAGCAGGTGTCTGCTGAATCGCCCCTCCTTACAGAGGTAGAGGTACAAGCTGGTCAGAGCACACCGAGCATCCACAGAAAAAGGCAAACACCTACTGGGCCCACTCTGTCATCATTCCAGGCTTTATGCAGCCCACTTAGTTCTCACAGCCACCCTATGATGTGACACTGCTATTACTGTCATATTATGAATAAGGAAACTGAGGCATAGGGTAGTTAGGGAAGGTGCCCAGGTTCACACAACTACCAACGTCCAGAGGCGGGATTTGATCCAGCCTGTTTGGCTCCAGAGTTCACGCTTTTTAATAACTGGGCCATGCAGCCTCCCTTAAGAATGAGCCAGAAAATGGATTTCCTTTAAATACATCAAAGATGTTTCCTGCCAGGAGGCCATCCTAGGCTTTTGTGCTGCCCCCTTCACCTCTGCCCTTCCCTTGTTAGGCTCCAGTCCTGACTAGGCCCCCACTCCATGCCACCCTGAGTCCTTCTGCATCCCCGGCCACCTGTTCCGCTTCTCCAGCTTCCACTTCAGACCTTCGTCAGCCTCTGCGGCCTCCTACCCCATGTCCGTGTCTAACACCCACCTGCAAACTCAGCCAATGTGCAGGGACCCCTGTCCTCTTCCCACACATCCAGGGCCCCTCCCTCCTCCAAGACCACACACAGCCCAGCGCTTCACGCCCTCTCCCCCAGCCCCTTCCCCTGCTCCCTGGATCTTCAGCCTCTCTCTCCAAAAGCTTCTTCTCGTCATGCTTTAAACAATTTCGAGTCTATACCACTAAGAAGAAGGAAGAAGAGGAGGGGGAGGAAGAGAAAGAGGAAGAGACAAAGAATATGAGAGAAAAAGGAGGAGGATGAGGAGGAAGAGGGAAAATGAGAAGGAAAAGAAGGAGAAATGTAACCACTGCTTGCAGTTTGCACACCGCATCTGCAGCTTAATTTCCTGAAAACTGTGAGGTAATTACAGTTAATATCGTCTGCACGTCACAGGTGTGGTCACTGAAGCTCAGTGTGGTCAGGTAACCCACAGCAGTCACAGCGCATGGGCAGATGGAGCCCGGGCTCTGCACCACCCACAGGCGACTTACCAAGGGCACATCCTTGCCTCTCCCCATGCACCTCCCCAGCAACCTTAAAGGAAAGGAGCTCAGGTGCCAGGAGGCAGCAGCATCCCTGCGCTCCTCGGGCTGCGCTGGGCTCCTCAGCATCCCGTTCTCAGAGAGGACTCCACTCCTCCAGGCACAGCCTCCTGGGGCCGACGCTGTCACTCACCTGGGGGCTGAAGGAGGCCTCCCATGTCACCTCCAGGCAGAGCCTCCCGGGGCTGATGCTGTCACTCACCTGGGGGCTGAAGGAGGCCTCCCATGTCACCTCCAGGCAGAGCCTCCCGGGGCCGACGCTGTCACTCACCTGGGGGGCTGAAGGAGGCCTCCCATGTCATGGAATTGTCCCGCGTGTACAGCTCCACGGAGCCTCTGCCATCGCTGGAGCAGACTTTGAACCCATTGGAGATGACCTGTCCCCCATACGCAGAAGGGATTGGTCTAGACTGTTCTCCTTGTGTCTTCCAGAAGAAAGAAAATGTGACCCCTGAGGAGAGGAAAGTCACAAAATCAGTTATTCCCAGAGAGCAGGGGACTCAACTTCTCAGAAGCACATGGTTCTCTTTGCTTTTTATTTTTCATTCGAAAAGCATGTTGTCCCCATTCTAAAGGCAGTGTATGTTCAGTTCAGAAAATCCAGACAGTAATATTTGCACATGTTTATTAAGGGCTCACATAGCGCCAGCACTTTTCTAGGAGTTTGAAATGAACTCTCGCCTTTTAAAAAGTACAAAAATCCTGCTTCATCCCCATTATACAGATGCAGGAACTGAGGCTAGTTCACTCAAGGTCACCAGTGACTGAGGACGATCGCTGCAGCCCCCACTGGGAGCGTGCAAATGTGAAGACCTACACCCTCCAGGTTTCTCTCCTATTCCTCCAGCAACGTGGTTAGGGTGGCTCCTTCCTAAGCCTTTTCTATAAATAGATTTTACAAAGACATGAACCATCTCAGGCACACTGGTTTATAAACAACATTTCTACAAAATTTACTCCACCGTGAACTTCCTCCAACGTCCATAAATACACTTTCACGTTGTCATTTTTATGTCTGCACAGCGGTGCATTCTAAACAAGCACCACAGTCTTTTTTTAAACAACAGTCCCCTGTCACTGGATCTTAAGGTTTTGTTCCACTTTTTGAAGAAATTTTCAAACAGAACTTGAAGCAAATTTTTTTGCCTATCTCAGATTATATGCCTTTAGGATACATTCCCAAGAGGGGATTTCTTGCCAAAGGGAAGTACACTTTTAAGGTTGTTGATATCCGCAATTGTTCATTTCCCAGTTGAACACAGAGAGGTCAGCAGCTGAAACCTTTTTCAAGACCCCAGTCTGCACATTTGTGGAAATCCTGACCCCAGGCCCATGCGGCGGGGAAGGAGGGATTCCGTGTGGACCAAATAGTCTGAGTGACGCACGTTAGCATGAATGAACTGACCCACCAGTTCATGCTGCCTCCGCCACCAGAATCAGATAGAACATCCCTCAAATGTGTCGTGGCAGTATATTACGGTATACTACGACAATGAGATATTGTACCTTTGTGGGTCCAAAGACCTACTGTGATCAATGTAAACATGGAAAAACAGTGCAATTTTTATGATCCTGATGTGGGATTTCTCCATCTTTTCACCACAAGAGGAACTGCAGGCTGGGCACGGTGGCTCACGCCTGTAATCCCAGCATTTTGGGAGGCCAAGGCAAGTGGATCACCTGAGGTCAGAAGTTTGAGACCAACCTGGCCAACATAGTGAAATGCCCTCTCTACTAAAAATACAAAAATTGGCCGGGTGTGGTGGCAGGCACCTGTAGTCCCAGCTACCCGGGAGCTGATGCAAGAGAATTGTTTGAATTGGGGAGGCAGAAGTTGCAGTGAGCTGAGACTGCGCCGTTGCACTCCAGCCTGGGCGACAGAGCGAGACTCTGTCTCAAAAAAAAAAAGAGGAACTGCAAAAGCCCAGCTCCTGAGTGTGCCCCCCCAACCCCGACCTCTGTCCTGCACTCACGCCCACTGGTCTGGGGGCCGGGCTCTCTGCTGAAGGGGCAGTTGGGGCAGGGCCTCGCTGGAGGCTCCGTGGAGCTTGGGCCTCTCTAGCACTGCCTTTTGGAGCTCTGGTTTTCTCTTTTCCACTTCCTTGCCTCCAGCAGCATCTGCCCACCTGACCTTTCTTTGTGTGTAAACTCCTGTGTGTGTATGTGTCTGTGTGTGTCTGTGTGTGTGTGTGTCTGTGTGTGTGTGTGTCTGTGTGTGTGACACTAGCTGCCTGCCTGGACTCTGCCTGTGACAGCTGGAAATACATCCAGCCGCCTCACCCCCGCCAAGCCCAGCCCAGGCACGTGGGTGAGAGGGTTCAGTGGTGCTGAGAGAGAACACGTGCCCAGAACTGGTCCAAAGAGGCCCATGATGGGACGGTGGGCCGGGGAGAGAGGCAGAAGGGTATTTGCCCTGGGCTTTATTTCTACAAGTGGTGCCAAATTTAGACTTTAGGCCTTACCTTCACATAAGGTTATGGACACAGTCTTAGAGAGTCACTGAATTCAAAGAAGACATTTGTCATTCATGTATAAGGTGGTGTCTCATTGCCCACTGTCCTTTCTGTGATGCCTTATGAATTAACACATCTGTTAGAAGTCCTTCGAATGTCTTGTGACAATATATCAAGACAACGATACCTTTGTGAGCTCAAAGCCCTCGCAGGATTCATGAAAAACACAGCATACATTTTAAAACCCTGGTATGGAATTTCTCCATTTTATTGTTTAAGAGAAGAAGAACATCCAAAACATCGGAAGGGGCCTGGACCTTTCTGGACCTCTGAGAGGCTGCAGTGCACAACTCCAAGCCCTGCAGTGTCTGTCCTCAGGCTCCTGGGAAAGGAAAAAGCCCTCACCAGTGCCCAGTAACGTGGTCACCGCGGAACAGTGTGACTGTGGAGGCTGCACGGAGGCCTGGGGCAGCTGACGCGGGTGTCCCCGGACCTGGCCGGTGCCACCCACACCTACCTCATGAGCAGGCTCTCTGCAACACCTGCCTCGTGCTCTGAGGGCCACAGAGGCCAAGACAAACCCCTGAGCCTCCCACCGCTTCCCTCCACACTCAGAAACAACCCGTTTCACAAGGAAGTCGGCACAGTGCGTTGTGAAATTTTTGTTATGAAACAAATTCCCAGTAGGATTCATGGAAGTTAATTTTTTCCAAAAACTTTGCTGCATTTTAAAACTCCTTTCACTCAATTCAAAATGAGCCTGCTTGGCCAAATGTCTTTCTGTTCAGGAAGAGAAATAAAAATGTAAAAATTCCATGTGGTGTTAGGAAAGGGTAGATTGAAGGCCATCCACGGTGCCGGTAACCAAGCTTTTCATTTCGTTCACTCAACCCACAAAACAACGACTTCTACCTGAGCAACAGCTTATATTTAAGTATCAATTCACGTCTTCATAGAGTCATAAAAAATTCACAATGTGCCTTCCATATTAGCCTTTTAAGGAACTTTGCCTCATGGAGTTGGGCCATCAATACAAACAAGGAAAAATCTGAAGAAAAAAGAAACAAGCACAATATTGACAAACTAATGTAATAACTTTTTCTTGTTATAAGCACTGAATCCTAAAACATCCAAAAAATAAAATGAGGAAAGATCTTTCTCGACAAGACAGAAAAAGGAAAAATTAAAATCTAGAAGTCATAAGAAAAGACTAATAAATTTGAGTGCATAAATATAATATTCTGCAAGGCAAAAAAAATCACCATAACAAACTCAAAGACAGACAATCATCTAGGGAAAAAAAATATTTGTCACAGAGCTAACAGATGAGAAGTTAATTCCCTTCATATGTAAAGACCACTGCATAAAACAAAGGATGATTTCTAGCAGGTAAGGAGAACTTATATGGGCTGAGGCTAAATCCTCCCAACAACCTGTAAATTAGGTATCTTTACCGTCTCCATTTCATAGGGGAGAAAACTGAAGCACAGAGAGGTGAGGTAACTTGCCCAAGGCCACACAGCTGGTCTGTGACAAGTCAGGATTTGAACCCAGGCAGCCTGGATCTGGAGTCTGCGTTTGTAATGGCTGTGCTGCGGCTACTGCCCTTCCCTTGGAGACCATGCATGGAGCTGCTCTTCCCAGGGCCACAGACTCAGCACCGTGCAAGAGCATGATTCAACACACGCCAAAGAAACAGCGGGCCAGGAGGGCACGAGGTTCTACCCGCGTGTGGGCCCGCCTGGCGTCCGAACCCGCCAGTCACCGCAGACCACACACCCGAAGGCTGACTCGGGCTGGGCCAATCAGAATCACCAGGACCGGCCCAGGCATGCGCAGACTCAGCTGACAAAACCAGAACTTGGAGCTTCTGAGCGGACGCTGCTCCCACACCAGGAGAGCAGCGGTGAGAACACAGCCGGAGCCAGGCAGGGACGGGGTCTGGTGGCCATCCCAGCAACCCGACCAGCCTGTGGCCCACCGCGTTTCCTCGAGAGCCACGAGGCTGCGCGTCCCACACGCTTCCACGCAAGACTCAGAGCCTGTTTCCCGGCTGCCTCGCAGGCCCTGAACCTGTGTGACCAGGAGGAGACACTTGTTTGCACATGGAGCCTTTAAAATTCTCACTCCTCACCCCCACCCCAAAGCCCCACTCTAATCGCTTTCTGAAATGCCTGGGGCTGTAGGGCACTCACTTTCCTCACGGGAATAAGAAATTCTTCCCTTTCCCCTGGCTCTGCTCCTCTAACAAAGCCACACGCAGGCCATCCTGGGGAATGGCCACTGCCTTCAGCCACAGCGAGGGACAGCAGAGGGTCCTGCGGGCTGAGGACGTCTGGAAAATGCTAGCTCTGCCTTAATGGGCGGTCACTCCTTACCCCTGACCGGCTGCTGCCAGTGGGGTGCAGGAGAGCAGTTCTGATATTTTGAGAGAAGTAAATTTTTAAATGAAATTTTCCCGTATATAAAGGTTGACTTTTTTTGAGACAGCGTCTTGCCCCGTGGTCCAGGCTGGAGTGCAGTGGTGCAATCATGGCTCACTGCAGGCTTGACCTCCTGGGCCCAAGTGATCCTCCTGCCTCAGCCTCCTGAGTAGCTAGGACGACAGGTACACACACCATGGCGCCCTGCTAAATTTTTTTTTTTTTTTCGTAGAGACGGGGTCTTCCTATGTTGCCCAGGCTGGTCTGAAACTCCTGGGTTCAAGCAATCCTCCTGCTTCGGCCTCCCAAAGTGCTGGGATTATAGGTGTGAGCCATTGTGTCCTGCCAGAGTTGAATGTTAATTTTAAAAGAAAAACACTGAAAGCACCAGGAGAAATTCCCTTTCTGGAAACCTGGTGGGCTAGGGCATTTGGATCCACCCACCTGGCTGGACACAATCTAGAAAGTCTCACTATAAAAACAGAAGATCAACACAGCACCCACCAAACGAAGCACGTATAGTCAGCCGCGGCCAGTTCCGGGATGTGGTATCACGTGAGTTGCGAGAATCACCT